CTTTATCATTACGATAGCGTTGCTTAGGACACGTATGGTAGATTCCTCCTTCGATTTGGTACACAGAGGACCGAAATTCCCGCCAAAAAGTCACCAAAATACAAGCTTACTGAACCAATACAGATTAACGCAAGAACAGCTTTAAACTTGACAAAAAAGAAGCCCACATATTTTTAGAGATTATACTTGCAGTAAACATTTTCATTGCTTTACAATTTTTGAATAACAACGAAGTCTTCCATGATCACAAAAACTGTAAATGATGCAAAGCTTCAGAAATATTAAAATAAAAACAATAAACATGAGATTTAGCTGTTAATATCGTTTTAATTACTATGTCACCCACTCGAGGAAACCGGAGGAAAAAAAATCTGATATTTGATTGCTCTTTATTATAAATGCATCGTTTTCATGAGCCCAGAACGAACTATTACTTCAAAATCAAATCCGGTGTTGAATTTATTCGGATTCACATTGCAGCAAAGTAACAAACAAAGATAATTGCCGTCGCCCACCTTAAGGTGTTGCTCAAAGTTCCAAATACCTCTCGAATTAGATGGCATGGTTGCATCGCAACAGAAATAGGCCCGGGCCTGAACTAACCTGTGCTTACATCGCGCCATGTCACTACAGCAACAGAAACGAAACAAAGAGTAAATTATGGGTCTAGTTCGGTGTTTCCCAACGTGGGGCCTACGTACCGCATGGGGGCAATTTGATAATTAAGGGGGGCAATAAATTAATATGGAAAATCTGTATTAAGATTATTATGAATTTCAGTTTTTTATTCCATAATTATATTTTAAAATATTACTTATTGTGTTTTGCTAATAATTTCATAGTGATTTCTTCCTAAAACCTATCGTTTATGTTTCTTAAATGAACAAATATTTTATTTATGTTAAAAATGATGTATGGGAGGGCATAAAAATTTTAGAAATTTTATAGTGGGGCATGGCACAAAAAATGTTGGGAAGCACTGGTCTAGTTTTTAATGTAACCAGTAATTACACTAATTAATTTTTTAGAAGGTTTCATTTTTATTACACTTTTATCAATTGATCATGGTAGGGACTCATGAACGTGTGCTAAGTATGTATTTCATTAGAAACATTGGTATCTGGCAGCGGGATTGGAACACCCTTGCATCGCTTGACACGAATGCACCGGGCGTCATCCTTTAGGCCACGACAACTTCTAGAACTATTATTCTCTTAATTCTTTTCATTATTTTTATTATTCTGGTATGCTGTTACTTCTTCTGATTAAAGTATCAGTGAAATAGTCTCACATATCTCATCCTAGAGGCATCCACTGGTATCGATGCCTAATTTATTTCTAAAGAAAGCAACTCTTTGACAGCAATGGGTTAACCAACAACTACTAACTGCCGATAAAGAAATGGAGTTATTAAAACAGGAAATTAGCACACTCAAACAAAGCCTGATGATAATATTAGCAAAGAAAATCAACGCTCTATTTCGATTTGGTCCAGTTAAAATAAGCCTATAACTGTGAATAGATTAAAAAAAAGCGTGGGGTGCTTTTCTGGATATCATCAAAATAACCCTACTCATATCTGTTCATAAAATATTTATAACTACCATGTACCATGCACCCCACGCTTTTTTTTACAATAAAATCATTTTTTTCTTACACTATTTTTAATTCAAGTTTATTAAAATTTATATTCTATTTTTTAGTTGGATTTTCTATAAAAGCGTATTTTGTTAGTTTTTTAAGCTATTATTTATTTTTATTTTTTAAAATTAATTTCAATGTTTTCTTAATGTTTTTTTTAATATTGTTTTGACATCGGTCCTTAATAAGTATACCAAATTTCGAGTTAATCCGACGTTTAGAAGGAGGTCAAAATCATGTTCAAAGATTCCGTTACATACTAACATACTTACGTCTGAAACTAATAAAAGCGTATTAAAAAGACAAAATCTAACAGAAGTAATATAGTATACAACGTGACCACCCAACCGGTTGTGGTTTTGAGTTACATAATAAGTTTGACCCCCCGCCATAGAAAATTCTATTCCAAAAATTTCACTTCAGAAAAAACACTCAGAATACGTTAAGTGCCGATAAAAAAATACGTTTTATTTTATTTTATCAAAGGCGCAAGATATGTTGAGTGACAAGTTTGAGAGGTGTCGGTATTTTACAAAAAATGGAACCCTTCAGCAGTATCAAACCAAATTATCCAATTTTCAGGGATTATTGTATTATACTGATAAGGAATAAACTTAAAGTTCAGAGTTACAGGAAATGGTTTTATTATAAGAGAAACACTCAAAGGATGGCAAAAAAAGCCCAGAGTAACTAACACCCAAGGTTTAATATATATTTGATAAGTAACATTAAAATAGGCTCAATGTTCAGTCCAGTAGAATTAGCAATGTGGGTTTACGTAGAATATTTAAAAAGCATTTATTTGAACAATCGACACTTGTTACTATAAGTTAGATGAGCTTATGAAAACTCGTTATAAAAACCAAATGATGGAAGAAAAGAATAAATAAAAAAACACGTGTGGCACTCGGGGACTGCCGCGATAAAGCTAAGAATTGCATAACATTTTTTATCAACTCATGCAATTATAATTAGACAATAATAATTTAATATTAAAACAATAATAAAATAAGACCACGGTGTATGTATTAATAAAAGCAAAACATTAACTGTCCCCTTCACACTCATAAGCTAGACCGCGCGAGAGAGAGATGGGCATACATTAGGAAAAAAAATGACTTGGCTGCAACCAGGACTTGCAATATGACCTACGATTGCCCTTAATAATTTTTTGTTTTTTTTTTTAAATTAATAATATAAATAAATGTATTGTACATAATGACATAACAATACTGAAAACGCAGTTCTATATATTATATCGTATGTTATATTTGTTTGCATAATCAAATAGCGCTACTTTTATTAATATTTAAAGAGCGCATTGCAGAAATAATCAATTGACCCAGTTAAAATAAAAAGCACCATGAAATCAACATAAAAAAACCGGCAAGAGCGAGTCGAACAAGCCGTGAAGGGTTCCAGAGTAAGACAAATACTTCGGTATAGTATCGAGTAACAGCTGGCCACTAGTATTATCATCATTAGTAGTATTATTATCATCATCATTACAACATTCACAGACACACGCATAATGACCTTCTTAAATGATAACACCTAATGATCTCTCAACAATAGTCCGCAGCACCTGTTCACAGCTCTTTCAAAGGCTTACAAAATAAATTATAAGGTTAATTTCTATTTGTATTTGTACTATAACTTTAAGAAAGAAATAAATAAAAAAAAGTGTGTGTGTCCGCTCCGACGCACGACTGGAGTTTACTGGATATAAATATAAATTTGTGTCAGTTGAATACAGTAAAATATGCATTTATTAAAAAAGCTTTATTAATAAATGATTTGTAGCGGGTTATATTCGGGTATCAACCCACTAACAGTTGATACGTTCAGGAATCGAACCCGAACGGCGTCCGGCCACAAGCAAAACGATGTCGGTAAATTAAACGAAACAATACGAGAAATAGTTCTATATTACGACAACACGATACACTACAGATTATTAACAAATTAACGAGACACAAAACAAACGACTAACAAATATATGAAAATACAATAATGAGAGAAACGCGCGATCAGTACGAGGCTTTGTGGCGGACTGCCGGCGCAGCAGCCCGGCGTCACCTGCGATAACGCGGCCGCGCGTTGGCTCCTGATTGGCGCGCGCACGCATCACCATGGCCAATCAGGCGCATAACGCATTTCGTGTGACATGCTATACTCTCTAGTACGATTTTGGTCCCCATAATTTTCATACCCCGGGCCTATATATGTAAATCGATTCTTAAGGAGTAAACTCCAATAAATAATTATTATTATAAAAAAAAAATTCTAGTTAGTCATCACATTAATCGCCACTAGGACCAATCTTATTTTTACTACTTAGGAACACTCTTATTAATCCAGAGATAGTTTTTGCCACATCTGTCTTTTTAAATCATTTAGATGAGCGAGTTCACGACCCGCATGATGTTAAGTGACTATCGGAGCCTATCTTAGCTTTCACACCCAAATGCATGTCTGCTTCGCGTCAGATAGGATGGTACCACCCGTGCAGACCATACGTCCTACCACCAGTTATACCACCAAACTTTGGAATCAAATAGCTTCCACGAGGTTTGCGTCGTTATGGAATATCCTTCCTCGCGTGTTTTTGTCCGTATGCTCAACGCCATCCGAATGTGATAGACAGAAAACCATTGGAGGTATTTTGCGCAAAAAAACTTTGCTTATAGTTTATATTTAATTCCTTTATTTACATATTTTATTTCAGAATTTTGCATTCTTAATTCTAAAACAGACATACATTGAAGTTCTTAAAAACGGCACGTCTTACTTACCTAAGACTTAAAAAAATATTAGAAAACGAATTTAACAACTTCTGTGTAATGGTGTAACCCGTTTAGTTTATTCCCTCAATAATCGATATATCTAAGTTTGTAGCTATTTAATTAAATACATCTTTCACTCTTTTTTTTATGTAAATAGTACCAATCTTCCACAAGTATTCCAGTCTGAGGGTTTCATTTTTGGTCAATCGAAGCCCCAAAAACATTCATTCAACGCAACGATCATAACAGATAATTAAATATTTACGTCTCAGTGTTAGAAGGTAGCAAATGCAATAGTAAGCTATTAAATTTATCACGTTTTATGATTGCACCATCCGTGACTTTGATAGTACAATGCTTCATTGCCAAGCAGCTGCTACTAAGAGAAAAAAAATCTCAGGAGTACAACTTAGTTTTTGAAACGAGGCGATTGCGCACGCACGCCTGGTGAAACACTATTTATTATTTAATTTATATAAAATTCTACCTTTTTTAAACACTTCACAAAGTATTCAAACTCATGTAAAATTATAAATGATTTGATCAACCACTTAATTTAAAAAACGTAGTAATGTTTTTTTTGCTTAACAATTACGTCCAAAATTATTTATGTATTTTTACGATTCTCATAACATAAACCGGTTTTTAATTGAAACGATTTTAGTTTGTGCATTGGAATTGTTGGAGAAGTTATAGTATTACAACATAAATTAAAATGGGTGTCGAAGATATTGCTGAAGTTAAGAAGCCCGGTAAGCTATTCTTTAGTATTACTACGTATTTTTACCATAATGACAGATACACAGCTACAGTATTATTAGCTACTGGTGCGAACGGCGCAGTCCTGAACCAACAATACAGAAATGAAGTCACCCCAGCCGTGCGAGCTGGTTGGAGACACAATGTTGTACATATGGACAATCTATATTTGAACTGGCACTCTTTATTTTAACTGAAGGTAGTTAGTTGATGTTATTTAATTATCCAGTCATTATACAGCATACAGTATTCAGCACCGTTTTGCATACATACTATATATCCAATAATGTCATCCAGTACACAATTAGCAAACTTTCTATTAATGCTGTCAAGTTTACTGGTGGTAGGACCTCTTGTGAGTCCGCACGGGTAGGTACCACCGCCCCGCCTATTTCTGCCGTGAAGCAGTAATGCGTTTCGGTTTGAAAGGTAGGGCAGCCGTTGTAACTATACCTGAGACCTTAGAACTTATATCTCAAGGTGTGTAGCGCATTTACGTTGTAAATGTCTATGGGTTCCAGTAACCACTTAACACCAGGTGGGTTGTAAAAGATGTAACTAATCCGAAGTCAAGAGTACCAGTAGCAGAAATACTAAACTTTAAAGACAGATACTAACAGATAATATTAAATACAGTTATAATATAACATAATCTACGAAGCATCGCCAACAGGTGATTCTCGCTCTTTTTCCTGTTGATGGATAGATGAGCTCACGAACCACATCTAATGAAGTGGTTACTAAGCCCGATCACAACATGAATATTGTCTCTCACTGTAGAACGTGGGTGGAAGTCTGTTTTAGTAATCCAAATCGATCATCCCATCCTACAATTTGAAACTCAGGATTTATAAAATAGATGGGTCGGTTGTGCCCGTGAAGGCTCTCAATACACTGTACTAGCAAATTCTTGTTGTCCTTGGAACTCAAAACAGAAGGAAGGTTAGTCCTATTGTCTGAACAACTGGGCTCGCTCAATACTTTTACAGATTTGTTCCACTTTTTTGCTACGTTCTTTTTTATTTTTTTTATTGCTGAGATAGGTGGACGAGCTCACAGCCCACCTACCTAGTGTTAAGTGATTACTGGAACCCATAGACATCTACAACGTAAATGCGCCACCCACCTTGAGATATGAGTTCTAAGGTCTCAAGTATAGTTACAACGGCTGCCCCACTCTTCAAACCGAAACGCGTTACTGCTTCACCGCAGAAATAGGCAGGGTGGCGGTACCCACCCTTGCGGACTCACAAAAAATCCTACCACCAGTAATAATTAACGAAATCGTTAGTAAGGGGCTATTCCAAGTACGCGCGGTACGGACATCTGAAGGAGATCAACTTAAGAGGACTTGCTAACACTAGCCCTAGCAAAAGGAGTGTTTCGCTAAATCTACCATCAGATCGGAACCGCAACACATTGAAAAGATCCGACAAGAGACTCAGTGAGTTGTGTTTATGGACTAGGTTGCACGTCGAACGCATTCCACAAGTTCGACGAGGACTGTAACCCATGTTTGAAGTGCCTAAAGCATCGATAGTAGATAGGGAGCATCTGATAGGGTGTGCTTAGTGCGACAGCGGTTTCGCGTTGCCCCGTCGTCTCAGTCGGGTTTGTAATTTGAGGTGGCCAAAATAAGAGGATTATCATATCACGCCGCTTTATCGAAGAAGCGTCCTCACTGTCTTCGAAAATCTACGTTCTTCACAAACCATGGTGCTCCGATGGCTATCCTGCAAAACCATATGCGTGCCGGCCGCATGAGTAAGCACTACACTTATATAAGGCATGAGGAAACATAACCAAGTTTTGTAGTGAAGGGACAATTTACTTCGCTGGTCGATGATGGGGTGGAGACGACCGAGTGAGAACGCGGCACGGTCGGGTACTGTCCGGATATGTAGACGGACTATCATTCCTTCATCGAAGGTGACTCCTAAGTACTTGACCTTCGCGGCCCAAGGTATGGGCTGGCCAAAGATTATTATGGCGGAATGGAGTTGCCTCGTCTAACAGCCGTATCATGGGCAAAAAACGTGCATAAGCTTCCCTTCTCAATAAATAGAATCCTGAGGGGTTCTTGTTCAAACAAGGTTTGAAAAGTGAGCTTAGTGGTCACATACAAAGCTCTAGGTATGTGTAGACCATGGGTCTATGTGTATCTTTGTCTATCTATCTATCTATCTTTATCGTTTCCACTGATATGTACTTTTGAATTTTTTCAGATGCCCTCCTTGGAGTACGCCACCTGCAGGCGTTGTTATTGTTTTTTGCCATGCTGCTTGCATTTTCGATGAGAGTGAACATGAGCATCGCCATAGTCGCTATGACTGATTCAAGTAATGAAGACGTGAGTAGAATCATGACTTATGGTTAACTTAAAGTTTGCTAGCTCAAACTAGGAAGACAAAAGTGTCAACTTAGTTTACCTGTTTAATGTACCTGAACATGTTGATGTTGAAAGGAAATGAAAATGCTGATCAATTAGAAATTAGCTACATTATGGAATTTTGGGCCTAACGCAGCTAACGCTTTCAACGCAGCGGAGTCACTTAATAGGGATAAAATCTGTCGCTGCGGTGGATGGTGTGATGATAAAAGAAATTAAGGTATCATCATAAACTATTCCTCAGACAACTTTTCTCTCTTCGTGCATGTCTTTCTTCAGTACATTCTGATTTATTCAAATCCATGTCAGGGCTTACGGATCAGTCATCTCATCTCAGGCTTACAAAAAATGCATGAGGTCACTTAAAAGCTCTTTGACCTAAAATTATAATCTTTTCCAATATTTTTATTTAAAATGTACTCTGTATTTAGGCGCATATGGCCATCGATTCTGTAAGGAGCAAAGCCAAGCCGCTGGCTACTACTATAATATTTCCCTATTTACGTTATAATAATATAAGTTATTTGGCTGCGAATATCTACTACTTTACTGGAGGTAGGACCTCTGGTGAGTCCGCACGGGTAGGTATCACTATTCTGCCTATTTCTGCCGTGAAGCGTTTTGGTTTTAAGAGTGGGGCAGCCGTTGTAACTCTAATATAATAAGACCTTAGACCTCGTATCTCAAAGTGGGTGGCGGTATTTACGTTGTAAATGTCTTTTGGCTCCGGCAATTACTTAGCACCAGGTGGGTTGTGTGCTCGTCCACCCATCTAAGCAATATAGATTACCTAACCTCAAGGTCCTCCTTTTAAGTGGTTTTGGTTTGCTTTATACTATTAATTTCGAAAAATGCAAAGTGACCAAAATTTGGAGTTCATGAAAACCGCATATGTGTCCTGAATCATATTATTATGCACTTTATAATATATTGTAGAACCATAGCCTATTTTTCTAGAGATCTGAGATCGTCCTTCTAGATGTAAACGAACGTAACAATGAAATTTCAAATCAATTTGATTTATCTAAACTCAACAAACCCCACATGATTCTTGACATTGACAAATATTCATATGAAAATATCTGTAAGTATATCTTAAAATCAGATTGTTATCGACAAGATAAGGGGTTTTAGAAAATGCATATTAAGGAAATCTGAAGACAACGTTTAATTTGAAACAGATGACCATAGTTTAAAACACACATCATCGAACAGATCTGATTAGGTACTACACTATCGATATTAGGTATGAGTCTGGTGTTTTGTTCTATATTTCTGCAGTATAATGTTTTGTAACGATATGCATTACTAAACTTATTTATACAGCTTTAACTTGATCTAAATTAAAAGAGCAAACATGTTTTTGTTTTTCTTATCGTCACCTGTAAAGTTAATCGGCACGAATCTTCAGCTCTCGACAAAAGAGTGTGACCGTCAGCGCATCGTGTACTTATGGTCAAAATAAATGGTTTATTCATGTAGTTTTTATAATAAATTTTTATAATTAAATTAACTTCGTTCAATTTTGGGTTTAAAAATGTATTAGTAGTTTTATAATATTTTTGGCGGGGTTTCGCTCGTAATATATTCAGAAATAACCCTATTTTTAACCGACTTTTAAAAGTTTATCAATTTATTCTGTTATCTATATAATATATAGATAGATTAAGTTAGACTGCAACAATTAAATAGAGATTTTAGGGATGTGCTTATGTTGTTTTAATTTAAATCAATTAATTCATTTAATTGATTTTATTTTTTATTTCATCAATATTATTGATTAGTTTACTACTTAACACTGGATATATTTTCATTATGAGAATAAATTTTAAAATATTACATTATTGGAATATTATAATAATACTAAGTTGATGAATACTTACCAAAAACAATATAAATTAAATGAGATTGATAAAAAAATGTGTGGCAAATAAAATTGGACGAAAGTGTAGTTTGCTGGAGTAGTGCGCGTGCACAACACAGGGAACCAATCACAACTGACGGCATGTCACGCGACATGGAAAGATCCAATCACGTAATCAACATGGCCAGCGCCACCTCTCCCTTGCTTTGTTCCCCCAAACAGGCCCAAAAATCGATTTCAAGGTCAGAGCTCAAGACTCGTGCCGATTATTTATTTGCTGCTGCTACAATCTAGCTTCCTCCTATATTAAATAAGACTGCCATCAAAAATAATAAATTCTAAGAGAGCGCCTCAATCTGAAAGTTTATAAATCCAACATGTTTTGACATTCGGTGTAGTCTTTTTAAATTTACTTGATATTTTAGTTTTTAATTTGTAATTCATGCTTATTCAGAACATTACGCTACACTTACTACTTACACCGTATCCTGGTTGTAATATTATTATAACAGTTTTTTTTTTTTTTGGAGTTTACTNAAGAGATTCCTAAGATCGGGGGACAGTCTGATGCGGTGGAAGCTGTCCTCCACATCGACTTCTTTTGAAGATCTAATGATCGCGGAAGAGATGTGATCGGTAATGATGTTTATGGATTCGACGGTGTCCTCGGGGGATAGATTCGAATCCGGGCCGTAAGGGAGGATTGGCGGAGCGGCTTCGGCTAGGCACGTGCCCAATTATAACAGCTAAATGCAGTTTTATTACATATGAGTAGTGTACATTATTAAAATAATACTGATTTTTAATCTCGCAAGAATAGGTAGGAAAGCGGTATAATTAATAAACGACTTTACACGAATTCACGAAAATAGTTTAAATGCACCATCAGCTGGAGAGGATACAATTATTGACTCATTTGAGAGCATACAATGATTCAATAGTTCCCTTTTGACCAAAATCGTGTATTTTTTTGTTTTTAGAGGTATTCTTGATCCAATTTAGAACAACATTATCCTCTTGTTATTACCTGGCTTGACGACAACCAAAACAAAAGAATCCAAATAAAGTAAACAAATGTCGCCCATCAGACTCTACAAAGGTTATTGCCACTACAAGAGTTAACAACGTCAAAATTACAACGTTTATCAAACACTCAGACAATGTGTTATTTTATATAAATTTAATTATTGTTGATTAAGTCTCAGTGATGGTTGGAATTTTTTTATTTTATTTATTGCTTAGATGGGTGGACGAGCTCACAGCCCAGCTGGTGTTAAGTGGTTACTGGAGCCCATAGACATCTACAACGTAAATGCGCCACCCACCTTGAGATATAAGTTCTAAGGTCTCAAGTATAGTTACAACGGCTGCCCTACCCTTCAAACCGAAACGCATTACTGCTTCACGGCAGAAATAGGCAGGGTGGTGGTACCTACCCGCGCGGACTCACAAGAGGCCCTACCACCAGTAAGAATTTTTTTTAACAATGTTGTTTAAATACAGAAATAAACTCTCATCTTATGTACAATGGTGGTTGTAAAACCTCAAGACATTACGAGTACTTAAAAATCTAGTAAAAAATTTAAAGTTTAATGAACACAAATGAGTTTTTGTTTATTTTATTTTTTTAAAGTTACAGGTTTATATTCCTTGTAATAATATACTTATATTTTTATTTTATTATCATAGGTAGGCTGAGATGTTGCATATCATTGTATTGTTATTGGCGGGTAAAAAAATTCACAAGCCGCTTGGTTATATACCACTATTTTGATGAATATTTATGTATATTATTATGAATACGGCTATAAGTTAAGTTATCGTATAAGCCAATAACAGGGAAAAATGTAAATAATACATCAAAAATATATAAAGTTTTTGAAAATCATGACTATAATCTGATTGTATTGTTTCAGTATTTTGATTGGAATGTCCAAATTCAAAGCGTGATTCTTTCTTCGTTTTTCTGGGGCTACGTAGTGCTGCAGATTCCTGGCGGTGAGCTGGCTGCTAGATTCGGAGGATCGATTCTCATTACTCTATGTATCGCCATCAACTCTGCTATTTCACTGCTGATACCTCTTGGAGCCCATTACGTAAGTATCTCTGTAATGTAATAGTGAACGCGGACTGACTCCGAGTCTCTTGGTTTACTGATGAGCAGACGAGCTTAGAATAAATCAAGTCACTGGACAGCTTGCCAGTTTAATCACTAACTTTAGCTTGAAGGTACCAGGAACCATAAGATGGAGACTACTCAATTTGCGAAATAAACCTAAATATTTTCATTGCATAGTTGGGTTCTCTAAAACTAGCTCAAAGCCCACCTAGTGTGAAGTGACCAGCGAGGCCCATACACAAAATGTCTTGAACGCCACGGTTAAGACATGAGACTTCAGTCGCATTGTATTCTAAAATGGGTCCGTATGAAGTTACAACATTCACTAAACAATCTGCGACTAACTCGAGATCCCAGGGCCGCTTTTTTATAGCTTTGGTGGCTGAAAGAGCTCACGGCCTACCTGGTGTTAAGTGATAGCCGGTGCCCATAGACATCTACAGCGTAAATGCCACCACCCACCTCGAGACATTGATTCTAAGGTCTCAGTGTTTACAGTACGCTTACTGTGTTCAGGCTAGAGAACGCGTGGGCGGCGCAATTAGTGAAGCATGTGGAGTCACACACAACACGTCGCCCCAGTTTGTACCTATGTGTGCCCAAACTATTGAAATTAGTTAAACGACAAACATCATGCCATTTATTTACTGATTTTACAAAGGCTACCATATGGTATAGGCGATAATGAACCAAATATTAAAGTTAGACCTATTATTATTATTACTATTGTTATTATTCTATTACCATGTACACTGCTAAGCCCCACTAGTCACCAAGCTAGTGAAAGGGCCAGTTTTGGACAAGCACCGCTATTATATATTGTTTCCTTGGGTCAGTTATCTGACACTTCATGGTTAACTTCAGCTCGCAAGTGTGCCGTTCAAGATTTTGCCTTGAAAAGACTACCTAATTGTCAACTGGCAATTATTAAATTTGCTGCCATTGTATTGTGTCAATGTAAGTTGTAATCGTGTCTAATAATGACGTCGTTCTGTTGTTTGCTTGTTTAAAAGTGTTAGAATATTGTATGACACCGATTCCAAATTTCGAACCAGAACGCAAGACTGCTCTGCGGCAGGATTAGGCAAAAGGATTAGCGCTGTCATCAGAATCAGATATTACGCAAATTTATAAATTTTAGCAGTTTGATGTTTATCATACAATGCTATTCCTTTATCATCGAAGTCATTTGTAGACCTCTGTTAAGTACGTATACTTCTAGAAAAAATCGCTCCTGTCTACGGAATTTGACAACCAAGAGAGTGGCTTCGCTTGATACAAGTACACTAGGAGTCATATGGTTATAAAGGTACCATGACCTCGATGATATAAATCTCGCTCACCTTTCAAACTGCTGCGTTACTGCTTTGAGGAGGAAATAGACAGGATTGTGGTACTTAGGCTTGTGGATATACTACTTATTAAAAAATATCATCAAAGCAACTGCTATCAGGATTTATCCGTATGTTCGTTGTTAATGAATATTAATTATTGCTATCGTTCATAGTAAGAAATGCGAAAAAGTAAAAATAAAATAGCATAAAGGCAGCTATAGAAACCTTACCTTCAAAAAGTAGCTCAAGCGATAGAATAACATGAGTTGTACATATTATTATATTAAGGAAAATAAAAATTAACACGTTCTTAACTTTTTAACTACAAAAAAAGGTCAAACTAAATTTTGTAAATAAAGAGCAATGAAATTAGATTTTTTTCCTCAAGAAATATCGACGATTCATTAAAGCTAAGTAATTTTATAGCTCGAATTTAATTATTGTGTTTCTTTGAATCTCGCGATTTCGGTGCATCATACGTATAGAATAAAATAAATAAAAATTATTAAAATGGTATCTCCCCAAACTAATATCGTATCGTTGGTAATGAAACATCCTTATGTGATTCAAGTTTTTATTTTATTTTTATACATATTTATAATAATAATAAAAACAGGTTATATTAATAAAACCGAACAAAAAATATCCTCTTCGCTTTGGCATGGTCATTGATGCATTCAAGTTTTACAATTTTCAATTTTATTAGACATCTTGGGATCGGTGAATATTACGTTAATTAATTATGTTACATATACAGAGATTATGGTCAAAAATTTATCAAAATATCAACAATTAATTTCGCTTAAAGGGTGGGGCAATGACCACGGGGAAGAGTTCGTTTACCTTTGCTTTGAAATTTTGTGACACGAATTTCTTGAAATGCAGTGTATTGCTACACACCCAGTGCAACAATAAGCTTGAGTTCCTACTTTATTTTTTTGTGTTACTCTTTATTATCTGTATAAAGACTCGTTTTGTGAGCATGCAGATAATGTACACTTCATTTCCTTACATACTAATTTTGAGGTTTGTTGTTGAGTTGGCAGAATTATTTAGGCCAAAAAAACAGCTTTGCCGTTCAAGCTGGGAAGTCCCCCAGTCCAATAGTCGGTTACCGATGGAAATACGATAAATAAGAGAACTAACCCGTGTGGATAATGCTACCATATGAATCTCTGTTTTGTAAGATAACTTATAGACTTACAAGACAACTTAAGAAAACATATATTTTTAAATACTTAAGAGTATCAAGATAAAAATTGTATTTGAACTAAATTTATATGAATTTATTTACAATTTTTTTTAACAGGGAGGCTGGAAACTGGTATGTGCCTGCCGTGTCCTGCAGGGCTTGTCCCAGGGTTTTATATTCCCTTCAGTGCATAACCTTATAGGGAAATGGATACCTCTGGAAGAGAAAAGTCGCTTTGGAACATTAATATATTCGGGTGAGAATGAAATAATGTAATGCTTAGAACAGCCCTTAAACATTTTTTTTTTTTTTTTTTTTTATTGCCCTTGTAGGCAGACGAGCATACGGCCCACCAATTATTGAGACCCATTGATACTTCGAACACAAGGTTGGTTGTGTCATTATTGTCACGGGTTGTATGGGTTCCGGTAAAACTCAATACCCAGAAAGATCGATTACGTCTTCCTGTTTGGCTCAAAAAAGGTTTAAAATGATAATAGATAGATAGATATTTTACCTTGCAAAAGCTGTTCCCGTTGGAAGCCGAAAAGATAACTTTCCAACTTGTGTCTCAAGATATACCTTTTTTAGTGCTTGGGGATGAACTCGGGGGGGGGATGAACTGGGTCTCGAGATATGTGGAACTGGTCCGCGACTGCAAACCGCGGGCCCAAGAATATTAAGGCTAAGGTATACCTTAGCCCAAGTAATTTTAAGCTCGTTTGGATACCTAAGATATAAGGCAGCTGAAGCCCCCGCTACGTATTATAGTTGTTTAATCAAAGCTTACCCAGCAATGATAAGCCAAGGAAGTCACTACGGTCCGTAACAGAATACGCGTTATGCTCACGCCGTTACAAATTCGAGCCTGGGGCGATACTGTAGGGCCGGTAAAAGATTGTTGTATGAAGCCATCTGATTTAAAAACCAATACAAATTGATCTCGTTACGATAAGTTTTCACATAATACACATGCATAACATTTAGCTTATACGAGTAAAATTTGGCCACGCTTCGCTCAGACCATAGCTACGTAGTTTTCGTACGTAGATGGTACTATAGCAAAAGCTCTGGCAGAACAAGCTTAGTAATTCTCATCTGTCAGTGCACGCTAAATACAAGTAACTACTAGCGATGGAAATCTAAAAACGTGTCGTGAAAAAACACGCAAATATTACTATAACTCTCAATACCTCATAAGTTCAAATTCATTACAGGTGGTCAACTGGGAACAGCAATACAGTTGATAATTTCAGGATATTTAGCCAGTTATTGGGGCTGGCCAGCTATATTTTATACGAATGGAACTCTTGGAGCTATATGGACTGTGGCATATGTTTTCTTGGGTGCTGACTCTCCGCGGAACTCGAAGATGATCAGTGATGCCGAGCGCTTATACATCCAGACCTCGTTGGGCCAAGTTAAAGAGCAAAAGGTTTATATTATAAATATTCCAAAAGGTGTACATGCTATTAATGTGCATATTACATATTATGCCTAACACATATTATATTATATACATATTTTGTTTTCAGAAATTAAAAACACCGTGGAAGGCAATTTTAACATCTTTACCATTCATCTCTTTAATAATTGTTCACTGTGGCCAAAATTGGGGCTTTTGGACACTCATGACGCAGATGCCTTCTTACATGAAGCAAATTTTGGAAGTTGATATTAAACAGGTAAATTTTGCCTCATAATACGAGTATAAGCCAATCAATAGGAAAATAAATAAGCAGCTGACACATCTCCAAAATTGTGATCGAGTATGATCGGTAGTCTTTGGTGTATGTTGAGCGTTAGCTTACTCCACTTTGGCCGGGAACATCAAAACTAGACTTTCGCTAAGGTTATTACTTCTGCTATGAGTACCGGAAACACATAAATTGTAACAATTACACGTAGAACACCAAATACCAAATATCTTTAACCATAACCATAATTACCAAATATCTTTGACATCGACTAAAAAGTAAGCCCAGGCCAGTTTACCAGCTAAGATCACCAAATTTTACACTGAAATAGCTATTTAATTGAAGTTGCTAATTTACTGAAACAAATCCTTGCAGAACGGAGTGATGTCAGCTCTACCGTACTTGGCAATGTATCTGCTTAGTTTCCCCTTTGGATACTTATCAGATTATATTTTGAGGAAGAATTGGTTCAGCATTACTACTAGCAGGAAGATTAGCAATTCTATTGGTATGTATTCTTTACGTTTCTAAAATTCCTTAACTACAATTTGCCAATATAACAGTTTTATAATTAGCTTCATGAAAATCCTTCGTTGATCAGTGTTGCTAAAATACAGCCTAGTAGGGAACATTGAAATCCTCACAATCTGGCTGACAGGATTTGGTTTTAGTTCTTTTAACTTATAGCATTCTTCTTAGGTCACATGGGCCCGGCGATAGCTCTAATCGGGTTATCGTATTCCCCGGCCGGCAATGTAGCGGTGGCTGTGGCACTACTTACCGCTGTCGTCAGTTTGAACGCAGGTCATTACACAGGATATTTGGTGCGTAAATCATGTATTCTAATTCTAGTTTCATAATTTTATAATGTACATTTTTATGTAACTCGAGAAACCAGATGCAAAACTAACGTTTTTTTTTTTTTTTTTTTTGATTGAAGGATTACTGGTGGCCCGGAGGCCTTTCCAGTTTCACCAGGACAGGTGGGCGAGCAAAGGCTCAGCCAGGAGGGGTGGGATTTGCTAACAGCTACCCGAGCGCCTCCGAAGGAGACCTAACAACTCAAGAGTAGCTGCTTCGCGAATGAATCTACTACCGGATCGGAATCGCGACCCGCTGAGAAGATCCGGCGAGAAACTCAGCGAGCTGATTCATGGGTTAGGTTGCACGGCGAACTCTTTGTCGAGTTCGACGAGTACGGTTACCGAGGTCCCTAAGCCTGCTCCCAGAGCTGAAGGCGTCTAGTGCGAAGGTTATTGGATCTGATGGATCCGTAAGGACGTGTCTAGGGCGTCGACGGTGACTGGCTCCTGCATGATCAGGATTCGGGCAAAACTAACGTATAAAACGTTCCACACCGAATCGCTTCAGTCACACGACATCTATACTAATATTATAAAGAGGAAATGTTCGTTTGTTTGTTTGTATTGAATAGGCTCCGAAACTACTGAACCAATTTGAAAAATTCTTTCACTGTTTGGAAACTACACTATTCCCGAGTGACATGGGCTATAATGTTTTTTGGAAAAAATTAGGGATCCTTACTAAAACTCCCATAATGTAACCCAAGGTGTAAAAAATTTCCTAAAATATTCTTTACATCGCGTGCCCTGCGAAAACTATTGATATAGAAGAATAAAATAATGTACTACGACTTTGTAGGACTCATTATTATTTATGAAAAGTGTCGCGATAGCATATGTCTAACTATTATAGTTATGCCGTAATAAGTGTTCTTTTATTTACAAAAATAAAACAACGTCACATGTTCTTGAAATTTTTGTTAAAGACCCGAGCGGAGCCGGAGCGGTCCGCTTGTTAAGAATATTTTGAATATTTCCAAACCGCCAGCAGTTAGATTTCATTTCTCGCGTGGAATATATTTTGATTTATCTCCGCAATTTACGCCTCAATATTCTGCTTATTTTATTTTCAATTTTTAATAATTTGTTCCGGTAATTTTGATTTTCAATATCTATCCACCTTCTAAAATTTATGTCTTCGATGTATTTATCATCATATATTGAGATTATTCTCAAGGTATCTTTATTTCCGTGTTAGTGTCTTAATGATATTATACTCGCAATAATATAGTGAACAGACTTGAATATGCTAAAATATAGTCTCAACAATTAACACCGTAGAACTATCAAATTCTAACAAAAATTCAGACTGTAAATTTATACCATGCGAATTAAATGATATTGACCGCATTAAAACAAGCAGACATACATCAATTCAAACAATTACGTGGCTGTGGCCTTGATAAAGAAGTTCCAAAGCACATGATCAGGCATACAAAATTTTATTCTACTACATTTGCAGATCTGGTGGTGAAATTGTTCGGATTTTTACAATATTTTGCTTAGATAATACAATACTCTGACGTCGCACAGTTCCAATGTATCATACACTTGCCGAAAATAAAAATGATTTTTTTGTTTGTCCTCTATGTACTCTTAAATGATTTCATCCCGGCAATGTTTCTGTTATAGCACTGTAGTTAGTATCAATAATATGTGGAGCTCGAGTATTTGCAAGAAATCTATGCATTTCATACACTTAACGGTAGTCTTAGAAGGGCGGAACCGCACTTCACTAGCGACTTGTTAAACTTACTTTTGTTTTCTTCCAGTTGGTACACATCGACATGGCACCAAATTTTGCGGGCACTCTTATGGGCATCACAAACTGCATAGCAAACATAATATCAATCATAGCGCCATTGGTCGCCGGACTCTTGCTACAAGATGAGGTAAGGGATTTGATGGCCTAAACGCGCAACAATGAGATATCAACTTGTTTCAGTATTTTGGTTTGTAACTCTCGTAGCAATCTATACAAAAATGCCGTGGCCTAATGGATAAGATGGTAGTCACTAGTAGTTACCACTACTCTGCCTGTTTCTGCCGTGAAGCAGTAATGCGTTTTGTTTTGAAAGGTGGGGTAGCCGTTGTACTGAAAAAAACTGAGACTTGGTACTCATGTCTCAAGGTGGATAGTGGAATTTACGTTTTTGATGTCAATGGGCTCAAAGTAAACAGCAGGTGGGTCGTGAGCTCGTCCAGCGATATCAGGAATAAAAAAATAAATTTTTTGGAATGTCGAAAATCAGTCTGTTTTGGCTATGGCTACTGCCCTCTTGAGACTTGTATATGTTTTCATTTTCAGACCGACCCAGCAGACTGGCGTAAAGTGTTCTATGTATCGTCGGCTGTTTACATCATTTGTAACCTTTTCTTCGTTATATTCGGGACCAGTAAAAAACAAAAGTGGAATGAATCAGAAACTGATAATGGTAAAAACACAAAAACTTAATTTTGCTTAATACTGAGTAGTGACATTTACGTCGTAGATGTCTATGGGCTCCAGTTACCACTCAACACCAGGTGAACTGTGAGCTCGTCCACCCATCTAAGTAATAAAAAAAATGCACGGATATATTAACATACCATACTAACGTTGGTAGAACCCTATCTGTTCCTATCTTGGAGAATAATATTATATTAACTTTGGCGGGCGACGAAATTCGCCTCTTGACATCTATTGACTACATTATCTGCCTAACACCAGTATCTCATCTGCGTCTATACTAATAAAATAGTTCCTTGTATTTTTCTAAAGCCCACCTCCTCTTGCGATGAAATTTCAGGCTGCACAAGATATTTCCGTGTACTTTCACATACTTAAACAGTACGTTAATATCTTACTGTACCAATATTATGCTTTTTATGTTATTTGTTTCTTCAGTCAACAGACAATGTACTTGGTTACAATAGCTTGAATTGATCAGTAAAACAACTGAACTAGTTATTGAATAACGTTAATTCGCGAATACGTTTGTTTTTATTTTTTTACGGGCCACGCTCTGTTACGAGTGTCGTTGGCGGTTGGAGATCGTTCCAGCGGTGTTTCCTATAAAAATAGTCATACATGTGTCATTAACAATTACAAAGACATCGCTGGAGCTGTGCCTTTAGTGGTCCTCCGACGTGCGTGTGCCAATCGATTTATACATCTATACTATATATTAATAAGTGAAGCAAAAACTTTGTATCCCTTTTTACGAAAATTGCGCGGACGGAGGAGTTTAAAATTTACCACACTTATAGAGAATATAGAGAAGAAGTGCACAATGCTAATATTTTTTTAAAATAATGCATAAAAGATACATTAAATCAATAAAGAAAACATTACACACACTACATACCATGTATTTGACGAACACATGCATGCATACTATTTATTGTCAAACTTTTGTTCTTGACGTCTGTTGTCAAATTGAGAATAGATTAAATATTGTTTTCTTTGTTCATATTTTTTATAGTGTAGTCTTGGCGAAATTTGTGATTATAGAAGTATAAAATACAATCGTAATAGTGTACAAACTTACAATTCCAATTAATTATAGTCGAATTTCGACTACTGCGGGGCCACTAGTATATTTAAATATGCATATTTAATTTGTAAATGTTCTGTCGAAGCATCGAGCATTCGAAACATCAATCATTAAACGGCATTGGCTGGAATAAATTACATAAACAAGTTTATTAATTAATAACTTTAAGATACAATTAAACGAATACAATATGTCCTTTTGCAAACGAGATTTTTGCATCGATATACATTAACTTAACTGATCTATTGGAACTACCAACGTCCATAAGAGACAATAATGAAATTACCGCTAAGTGGATCGTAAGCTCGCCTAAGTTAACGAACAATATTTTTTGATTTCCAGGTTCAACAGAAAAGGCAGAAAAAGTCGTATAATAATTTATTGTTCCTGATAAATGTAAATACTAATATAAGATTACTTTATTATTGTTATTGGTAATCAAAAATTGTATTAGATTTATTGTAGTTTTAATAGCTTATGTTCATTATAATTTTTTTTTGTCGTAGCTATGTTATTTTATTTACTCTCAATCTATGCAGGCTGGGTGTCTGAGACCCCTAGCTGCCAAATCCGGTGAGGTGCCATTTTTTTTTCTAAAGAAATGCTTATGCACTTAACTAATGTTCACGAACGACTTCCACGATGAAGGAATAACATCGTGTAATACAAATCAAACCCGCAAAATAATAATTTACGGAATTACTAGTGGTAGGATGTCTTGTGAGCCCGCACGGGTACGTACTACCACCCTGCTTATTTCTGCCGTGAAGCAGTAATGCATTTGGCTTTAAAGTGTACGTAGCCGTTGTAAAACGGAGACTTATAATGTGGGGGTAGCCAACACTGAACACAAAGATATTCGACAGATGCACGAATCTCGCTTACGATCGGACCGTCGCGTCGGTCTATCGAGCAATATCTCCCGCTTGGTGGAAAATCTTCCCTTTGTCGTATATCCCTCCACAATAACTCATGTCTCATGGTTGTCTATGTCTATAGTTTCCGATCACCAGAAAGATAATTTTGGTATTCATCAGTCTGCGGTCGCAGCACCTACCACTGCGTACTCAGTAATCTGTACTTTTTTTTTATTGTCCTTGTAGGCAGACGAGCATACGGCCCACCTGATGGTCAGTGGTTACCATCGCCCATAGACTTCAGCAATGCCAGGGGCAGAGCCAAGCGGCTGCCTAACGAACCAAGCTACTGCCTACCGGCTTATAATGGGAGCAAGATGAAATAGATATCATATCAGACAGATGGTGTGGAAGTAGTATTATTCGAGAAGGTAATATCCGTAGCTTGTGGTTCATACGGCTAATCGGTTTTTACGATAATAAATACATAAAACGTAATTATTATTTTTAATAAACTGATATAGTTTATTTAACAAATAAAAATGAAAAACCTTAAAAAATATAATATAATAACTAAAATATATTATTAAAAGGAGTCCCTTTAGGTAAAGTTCCGAAGATACTGGTAGGGGTCCTTTGAATAGCTAGACTAATTCTTTATTCCAAGGAGCTGCCAGCTGTTCTGTCTCCTGTGATGTCGATTAACCTTTTTCCTTAAAAAGCTTTATAGCACTTGGACCCCATGGACAAAGGGTAAACTATTGTGAACTAAGACAGATTGACTCTATGAGCAATATTCTATGTTTCAAATACTGTACAGTTGTTGCAGTCTTCACTACAGTTTTATTAATCGAAATTTGAATTTGTACATCCACTTAAAAATTAATTTCAATGTACGATATATTTAACTGCCAAACTTATTCAAAACAAAATAAATTTATTAGTACTCTAAAATAATTTACGACCCGTAATATTGCAAAACGAAATTAACTAACTTGCTACCTCCGAGACACAGTAGCACTGCAGCTATGAATATTGCATACAAGCGGTTCGTACTGTCCTAATTAACTTTTTGCCTGGAATTTATTTTCCGTCCAAAACTAGTTTCTCTAAATATTAAAACGATATTGCGTAGTTTCGCTGTTGTCGAAAAAAAACGAGCAGGTGGTCTGATGATGTATTGTTATCGCCACCCGTGAGTTATAGCAGGGTTAGAAGAGAGCCTAAGATCTAATGGATACTTCGTCTGAAAAGATTCACGTTATAATTTGAAGAAAACGCGATGAAATTATCTAGAGCCAGATGCTACTCAGTTCTACACTCCACAGATGAACTTTATGTTTGATGGTGGTATGACAAAAGAAAACGAAATAATTGGAAACAATTTAGGAGATCTCAAAATAGTTTGATACGGTGATGTAATTTCGGACTTATTGGATACCACTCTCTGTAATGTTTTTGATGCAAATCGATGACGCGCTAAATGCGGGTAGTTTCCCTTGCCTTCTGTCGGTCATAATATGTCTCCGTTATAATTTACCCTCTAGTAATTCATGAGCCAGACTTTGCTAAAACAAAAGAAATAATGGAGAATTCTCCTCGTTCCACAGTACTTCCAGATATTTCATTTAGAAAGACCTTAATCACGTCCCTGTTTCAAATATTTAAATAAAACATACATTGGAATTTAATATAAAACCGAAAAAGAATTAATTGGTCCAACATGACTCGTATATCAAGCTTGCAATTAATGTTTAGCAATACTAAAGTTGGAATTAATTGGCGAGTGTTGGCCACACTTGAGCTTGAGCACAAGCAGAGGAACAATCATTACAATTGACCATTTGAAATACTTCGATTGGACAATTGGATTTTTTTTCTACATGCTTTATCGCACAACTTACTCGTAAAAATATTGTGTTAAGTTCTAATTAATTGCTTGGAAAAACCGGTACTTTTTAGAGTATAGTATAGATTCATCTAACAATACGTGTATCTATGGAGAGTGCTATAAAGAATTTTTCGAGACAATCTTGTTATTTCCTTATTACTACTGCGCCAACCACTACCAAAGTTTATAGGACAAAATGATCTGTAAAGAATATCGATTTAAGGCACTCCTTAAATCGAATTCTTATACCTACCACCCAATTCTATAATAACTATGCAGTTCATTTAAGACAAGTTTTTCTTCAGACGAAGATTTCTCAGAGGCTTTTTTTTTTTTTTTTTTTTTTTCTTCCTATGCTGATAACCTTGAGAGGCTATTTCAGCTTCACCCTAACGTGTGTAGGTGAGCTCACGGGGCTCAAACCGGAGAGTTGCTAACACTGACCCTAGCAAGAGCAGTGCTTCGCAGAATCTACCACCGGATCGGAAACGCGACCCACTGAGAAGATCCGGCGAGAAACTCAGTGGGCTGTGTCTAGGGGTTAATTCGCTCGTCGAGCCCTTCGTCGCAAGNCCGAAGCGATTCTAGGAATTTTAGAAATTTTAGTGAATAGAATAAATATAATAGAATTAGAGTGAATAGAACCACTGCACAGTTCCCGGGCGGCAATGCCTTGCAATTAGGCGCAGGTACAAATTCCGAGAAACACTTGGGCCACAGATGTGCCACGAACAATGATCTATTATCACCGGTAGTCACTTCCGACAAAACAATGAGCACGTCCACGCGCGTCGGTTGCTCAAATCGGAATGTCTCAGAGGTACTGGCTTGACTTTACCTCTGATATTGTTGATGTCCAGATGCAACCAGTTAAGTTGTTTAAGTAACTAGATGATCTCTTGACCGATCTGCAAATCGTTTAATAATCCATAAATTTAGAGGAGATTCTATAGATAAAAAAAAACTGATCTGAACTGATAGATGACATTTATTTTATCTATGATAATATATGTTTTAAATTTGGTTCTTGAATGTAGGTTTGTATGTTTTATGAGTCCTTAATTCGATTTAGAATTATAGAGGATTCCATTAATTTAACCTCACCTAGCGTAGCTCTTCGATCATTTTATTAGATGAATATTCTCCCAGCTTTTATCAGCACGATTTTTTATATCGTGAATGTTCGGTCTCTGTTCAAACACTCACTCAAATTGGCTCAAGTTTGACACCCAATGTTAATGGCTCTCGTAACTGCTGAGTAATTTCACCAATTCGTATAATAAAACGAGTTAAAAAATTGTGGCTTCGGAAGCCTCCAGTTTTTCACGAGAAGAGTAATTTAAATGACGGGGCTTTATTATAACCAATTTAGCGGACATTTTACGTTTAGTTTCACATTCGTATTTATTTTATTCTTGTGGCACCGATCGTTCTTAGCGAATAGTAATGAGCAATAAATCCAGGATGTCACACAAAGGAGGCATTAACGAAATGCGTCATTTCGGACAATTCACTCATTTGCGTGAGGACGGCGGTGTAAATGAGACGCCGGGGAAATAATCGCTTTTTTTTTTGTTTAATAAATTTTGTTATTTAGAGGTCCAAATAATTTTCATTCAGTTTGAGGCATATTTCCTGACGACTTTTATTTATCGTTACTGTCATCAATGTGGTAAATTTTGAAGATTACAAGCGATATTCGCTGCATTTTCGAGTTCGCCAATGTTTGATTTGGCTTGTGCTGGCTGTGCGGTAGATGCTGCCGCTGAGGCCACTGTTCCAGGATATGCCTTTCGTCATCTAAAAGTCAGTAAATAAATAAGCCTGTATTTCCTCATCCTTAATTTCCATTTCAAATGTGGTATTTGTTTGTTATTGTTTAGTTAGTTATTAATGTGCTCATTGTCTCTATGCTAGTAAGAGCTCGTTTTTGTTATTGGACATGGATCCTTCGATGTGTACAATCGATACCCCTGTGAAACGACATCTCCACAATTATCTAGAACATTCCCGGTAAGACCAGTCGTTTCGATATATATGTTACTGGTATTGGATAATAGAGGGCGTTGCGCTTCTCGAGCGTTCTCGATTTTACTAGTTATTTTAATATTATTTTCTGCTGTTCGACGATAGATGGCGTTACTCTTGCCGGTGTAACATTATTATTTATTTAATTAATCGATTTCCACTAAAGACAGTGACTATTTATTGTATACGTTCAACAGCAGTAACCACAAATCAGAACCGTAGTTGTTAGGATACACTCAAGCTCAATTAAAAGGTGTTTGATTTTACCTACATTGTATCAGAAAAAATGTCGCATAAAAAGTTATAAAGAAAATTTAAGAATAAAATAAATGTCAGTTATTCGAACGAAGTTCTCCCCAATTTCGTGAACAATAGCTTTGTCAGTTTTATTGTCCTTGAAGTACCGAAGAATTATTTTTCGTTTGTTACAAATTACTGGGGTTATCTTTGACGGTTGTTTCCGTTTTATGTATCATAACTTTCTTGAACGAATATATTCACTTTTATATTTTTCCCTAAGATGTTTATTTTTCTAAAAAGTTATCCGTTGATGCTTTTTTTTTTTTATGATTGAGAGATTACTGGTGGCCCGAAGGCCTTTCCAGTTTCACCAGGACAGGTGGGCGAGCAAAGGCTCAGCCAGGAGGGGTGGGATTTGCTAACAGCTG